CCCATCGAGCACTTTTTACGACAGCAGCTTCTTGATTGGTGTCACGAGTCGTACCCCGGTGATCTTTGGTCAAACCGCTCGAGCGCTGCGCAATGTCAATAATGGAATGAGAAGCCCCTTGATTCGGCAAAGCGATAAGCGCCGAAGAAGCTGCGCATGATCGGCCGGCGCGCCGCAAGCGTCTCAAGAGATGACGCGGTTCAGAGACAGGCGACGCAGGAACGAAGTTAGTCTGAGTGAGTTGAGTGTCCGCTCTCCCCTTCTCATGCCGCAGCAGCATCGATACTCGTGACTCACACTAAGGTCAAGCCCCTTCCATCCTGATATGCAAGCCATCCCGAGCAGCACACTCACTTGACGAGCGAGTCACTAGCGGAATGCAAGACAGAGTCATGGGAAAGTGATGCTGGGTTCAGGGCGGAAACCTGATCGCAAACGTGGGTGCTGCGATGGCCTCTATCTCTGCTTTGGTGGTGGTGTCTAGCGCGCGTCAGCGCAACGGTCGTTGTGGTCGCTCAGGTCAGGTCAAACATCGCATGAACGCTACTGCTACGCACGTATGGACTCAGCACGGAGAGCTCAGCCAGGAGAGGCTGCCTCGTTGCGCACATCCTTCCCTTCTTTCTTGACATCAAGTATCGCAGCTGTCCCATCCATTCGGAGGAAAGTACCTGGGCTCGGCATTCCTGCGTTCCTGCAAGCTGCTCAGCAGTCTTCCGATGCTTGCGGCCTTGAGTCACTAAGGCGCTCGGGACGCCCGAGAGCTGACGTAGATAGAGCCCGCAACGTTTTGTAGCAGGAGCTCTCCAACCCTGGCGCGATTCGCGTAGCACCATTGGGTTCAGGGCACAAGCACACCTTACGCAATGACAGATCAGTCGAGCGAACACTCGTGTCGATCGCAGCCTATAAGATGCGTGATCGAAGAGAGCTCCTCGCTCTCAAAACTCACCGCATCTCAACCTTACTGCAGCACACGAATCGGTACTTTGCAACGCTTCAGCCTAGACCACCACACATCACTGTCGAAAGTTCAGCTCAAGTGGTCAAGCCTTCGCTACTCAGTCCTTTAACTCCAGCTTAAGCATGATCTTTGCAAGAGCACCTTCAAGCATGACCAACAAGCGCTCCATCACGCCGCCCGGCTCCTCTTCCTCTGCTTCAGAGAGCACGTTGAGTCTCGCAACGGTGGTGACTAGCAGCACGGAGTCTGGCTCCTCACTCTCTTACGTCAAGCAATCGCTCCAGCCGAACGATGCCTCCTCAACGTTCAGTCAAGAAGAGTCTGCCTGGGACAAGGCGAGCATCTTCTCGGCTTCATCGAGGCAGCACATTCTCACTCAGCCTCACCTGACCTCCAGACCTCATGCTCCGAGCGGCATGGTCGCTGCTCAGGCTTCGTCCCTTGCTCGAACTGGCACGCAGCCCCTTGCGTACGATGAGGATGTAGCAGCTTTCCTACGAAGGCACGGTGCTGGTGGAGCGATGAGCTATGAGGGTGCAAACTTCAAATTCAAGCCCGCCAACGCTCAAGAAAAAAAAGGAGCAAAGGAAAAGCACGGAAGAGGAAGGCGATGAAGCAGGCGCATCGACCAGTGGTTCATCCACACGCAGCCAAGGCGGCTCAAGCAAGGGGTGGAACATCTTCCGGAAGACATAGAGAACCCAGTCGCAGTCGTACTTGAAAGAGACTACATTCGCCCTTTCTGGTCATTGGCTACGAGCCATTCGTCGCCATTCCACCAAGTCAAGCAGCAAAGCTCAGAAAATGCGACTGTCACCATACCCTCGATGCATTGTGTCACAACCATGACCATCCCGCTCCGCCAGAGCCATGCCGAGACTGCGTCGCGCTGCTGCCTCCAGGTCCTCGAGCTCTGAAGACCTTCCGCATCGATGGCGACCAAATGGTAACAAGGAAACACGCTGTCACCACTCACGGGCTGTCACCTCCCAAGAGGACGGCCATCCCAGAATCAATCTCTGGATCGCCTGCCTGGCCTGCTGGGCTCGCTTGCTTAGATGGACAAGCGCCTCCTCAAAGCTTACCTGATACGCTCCCAATATGCGTCTTTCTTTCATGACTCGCTCCTACCACTCCAAGAGCGTCTCCCCCGATCCGCTCTTCATCTCGGCCGGCGTCTTCCCATCCAATTGTCTCCCTCGCTGTGTTCGATCTGCTTTCGCTTTGGACCTCCAACGCTCGTAATGAGTTTCTGAATGGACGGATATCATATATGTAGCAGGTCCTCTTCTTTCAGCACCGTGGCCCTTGAGCGCTAATCACTGAATGAGCGAAGGTTCCGGCGTTGAACTCTTGTGTTGACTCACTGATGATTCAAATTCAAACTGTGATTTACGAGCCTGATGAAGCAAGCACGTGCAGCCAACATTGTGCATGCCAGGTCGAGAGCAGACTCGGACGGGTCGACGACGCAGCAATTTTGAATTTTGAATGGAATGTAAATCAAGACTAAGAAGTCGCAAAGGATTTGATTTCGAATTCTGTTCGCCCTAAAAAGATTTGAGCGTCGACGAT